AAAAAAAATATTTTTTTTAGGTTTAAAATATTTTTGGTTGAATAACCAAAAAATCATAAATTACTGTATCAATACCAAAGAATTCCACTATTATTTAGGATGTTCTTATTTTATATTCTATCTCGTTAATACTGGTAATTTGAGTTTCTAATTCGTACAAAACTACAAACTTGGTATTTTGACTTCACAAACATCTAATTTGAACCAGTGCTGCATTCAACATACCACATGACACACAAAAAATCAATGTTTAACTATGTGTTTTTAATATTTACTTTTAAATTAAGAAATTGAGTATGGTATAATACTAAAAGTTTAATTGTAATCTACAGTTTGATACTAAACTTATTGACATAAATTCATAAAATAGTATTTCAATAAAATTTTGAATGCGAGTCAACAAATGCAATGACATGGCCTTTGAACCATGACCCATCTTGAAAGGGTCAACTGCAACTTTCAGAAAGCTCAATCACACAGTACAATACACTACATTACAGAGCTTGCTTCAATGAAGATACATTTTAGATATAGTGGGCAAGATTGACCTATTAGAATGTGAAAACAGTAAATAATGAGCAAAAATTATGGAAGCCAAATGGGAATTGGACATAGTAATGGTAAAAGTGACTTTTGGGGAGGTGGAGAAAGTGCTGGGTTTACAAGTGTGCACTGTAATAAAAAAAAATGTGGACTATACAAACAGGTTCAGTTAGCAATAAGGCATCATTCTCTAATAATTTGAACTTTGGCAGTTTGCATTGATGAAAGAGATGATCAAGAGGTTTACATAGTGAGAGGAATTCGCTCCCTCATTAAATATACTGATAAAGTTATTTGTTGCAGAAAAAACAGAAAGACAAAGTCTAAAGTTTCTTGTTATTTACTAAAGTACAGGATATTTTAGAACATGTTGACTGTTTACATGGTGATATGCTTAGAGAAAACAATGGGATGGTTAAACTTGTGGTATAATTTTCAGGTTAACGGCGAATTATATGCCATATGGCTCCATTTAAGAAGACTGAGTATTAGGTATTTGGACAAGCTCAGAAGGTATTCATCAAAAAAAGTTTAAACTTTGAGTGGTGAGGCAATTTGGGAATAAACAAATTGACAGGATAGACAACAGATTGAAAAAAGGATAATTAGAACATAGCAACTTAAGTTATAGTTTTAAAAATACATTTGTCAGATTTATAAAATAAATGTAGTGGGATCAAGAGTAAGCTTCGCTGCTACTTTTCTAATGTCTCAGGAACAAAATGGATGAGTTCAGTGTATTAGTTGAAATGGAATAGTATGATGTAATAAGAACTACTGAAACTGGATTAGACTTAGAGAACAGCACAGTAACAATAATTATTTTGAAAAACTATCTTACTAACTGACATGCTCATTCAATCACAGAAAAGATGCAAGGGCCTCTGGGTGACGTAGGAGTGCCACATACTCTCCGACTGCTCATAGCTTGCTAACTATGGATAAATCTACTCATGAAACGATGGGAAAAAAGTTTGATATGTGTTATCTTATCGCCAAGGAAGATATGGCTTATAAAAAGTATTCAGCCCTGCACGAGTTGAAAGAATGGCATGGAGTGTGGCTTAGGAGTTCTTATAAAACTAAGGACTCAGTAAAGTTATTTACAAGTTATATTGCAAAACAATGTCAAGATTTTATGGTTAGTTTGTGTAATGCTCACTTTTCAACTTTTTTGATGGATGGTTCCAATGATGCTGGGAATGTTGAAGATGAGATAATTGTGCTTTTGCACTGCTGGAAAAATGACAAAACTGAAGAATTGAAATCACGTGCTAGACTGTTTACAGTTGAAATTCCTAGAAAGGCTGATGGTTTAATAGATTGTTTTAGTAATGCCTCAAAAGAGATTGGAATTATTGGTATCCTTAATAAGAGTAGTGTTTTAGACACAGTTGGTAAGCCAGTTATTGTAGGTGGTGGTACAGATGGTGCCTCTGTAAGCATTGGGGAACAAACTGGGATGAATAGTAAATTACAATGAGAGCTCCCTTGGTTATTTTGGGCCTGGTGTTATGGACATTGCCTAGAACTAGCCTATAAAGATGCCCTTTTCAAGGTGTCTGTTTAAAAATGTATCAGAAATGCTGCTTAAGCTTTACTCAGATACCCTAAAAAATCCCGTGAGCTATGTGATATCATCACTGACTTGAAGGAGTATTTGAATTTACAAAAGGTGGGAACATACCAATTAGATCTCAAGGAACAAGATGAATTACACACAACTGCAAGGCTATGCAATGAGTAGAAGATCAGTTTGGTGCATATGTATACCATCTTATTATGCTTTCAACTGATAAGTCCATCAACAGTGCAGATAGAGCTCACCTTAAAGGTTATTTACACAGATGGCAGCATTAAACATGCTAATTGGTTGTGCTCTATATGTAAATATACTTAAATCCCCTTCACTCCATAGTTTATGTCTGCAAAAAAGAAAATCTTGATATTGTTATGGCCCTTCAGCATACTGTGAGATCAGTCAAGCATTTAAAAAACCTGGGTGAGAATAGCTCTAAGGAATGGCAAACAGTCAAGCTTGTCATCAGTAAAGTTATGAGCAAAGGTGCTAATAATGAATAAAGGTACATTCTTGAAATCATGTAATTTGTCTGACTGAAATAAAGTTTAGCACAGAAGTATGCATGTCACTCAAGCCATAGGCAGTATTCTGTTGTTGTTAGACTACCTTACAGTTACATAACAGTAACACCAATTTCATAATATTAATAATTTAAAAGCTATTTCAATGAGCATTGCAATAGGCTGAAGTTAAAACTGATAAATCATAAATAGTCTGTTTTCTTAGTAACCACAACTTGTTTAACTTCAAGTTCAAGTTCCAGCGAATATTTCAAAGGGATGGTTCCATAACTCATTAACTAAATTATAAAAAACTTGGAAGTTTTATAATAACCTCTACATCATATTCTAATGTCAAATTAACCTTACTATAACTTGAGTATAAAACAGTGTGTAAAAATATCTCATAGTCATACCTCATCCATGCATGTTTGTTTAGCATCTTGGCAATCGGTTCCATTGAAATTTGTCGTACTAATAGTACTGGTAGTGGTAGACGCAGGCAGTACAGATGAAAATGGCATTTTCTAGTCTACGATGAAAACACGATCATACAACGGTTAATCATTTCACTTGACAGAAAAAATAACATATACATATTTCATTTACAAATTACATCCTTTACAAAGCTCTCCTTCGATCTCAACAATTTAGGTGACCCATTTAACTTCACAGTAAGATATGCCAAATGTTATACCAATATCATATAAATTCCAATTATCACAGTTAAGTATCAGTCCAAAGTACAAGTTACCCACCACAACTACAACATAACGTGTTTCTGATCGGTGTCACCCAGTCTCACTCAGCTGTAACTTTGAGTGTGAATACAATACCCCCCCCCTCCTTTTTTTTTACAGGAATAAATGAATAAAATTGGTTTATATATATATTAGGGGGAAAATGTGCACAATTCATTTACCAGCAAAATTATTATAACTATAATCTACTAATCTAATATATGAATAAAATAACCTGTCAGTGTGCAATTTTTATATGTTTTTAGGATAGGTATGTGGATGTGAAGAGATATATTTAGACACGATTGTTACTCGATGGGCTGAATGGTCTTCTGTCATATCTTATGAGCAAAGTTACACAGTGGGCTCTCTGCGCTCTATCCTTCGCAGGGAATCGAGCCCTGGAGTTTAGCAATGCAAGTCCATAAACTTACCACTACCCACCGAGTGATAGAAGAAGTAGAAACAGTTAGAATCGATTTGCAAGCAGAATGTTACAATATAGGGTAGTTTGTTAAAGGCAGAGTCCCAAAGCTTAAAAATGTATTATAAACTTTAGACATGTTCGTGTGTTAATTTCCCGTAAAAATTCTTTCCGAAGAACTTCAGCGATATAAGTCCTTTCTTAAGTAAAACTAGTTTATTCTTTCTCAACATAACTTTGCAATACACTTAATTTCCACAGTCACTTTAGCTTAAATACATTTCCATGAGATTTGCCTTCTCTGTATTCAATATCATAATTATACTGGTCTATCTTTCCAATCCAACGTGCCAGT